AAAACTAAGTACCCTAGAAGAGAAAAAAAGTACCTTAGAAAGGCAAGCAGCTAGCAGTCCTAGGCTGTAAGGCGTCTCTTAAGAAGTACAGTATACCCTGCCTTATACTTATAGCACCTATAGTAGGTAAGAAAATTGCCTCTAAAGTTTAAAAAACTAGTAGTTAGGCAGCTACCTTACTATAGCTAGGCAGGCAGGCAGGTAAGGCTTATAAAGCCTATTACAGTAGTTATAGAATAGTAAGAACTACTGCTACAGGCACCATACTACCTAAGATATAGCAGCGTAAAGTTAGGCAGGTGTATATAAGTACCTTAGAAAAGAAAAAAAAGTACCTTAGAAAGGCAGTATAGGCACAGTAGGCAGCGCTAGTAAGTAATTAGTAACAGTAATAACGTAGTTAGGCAACAGGTATTCTATAGGTATATATATAAGATTAGATAAGGTTTTAGTAGTTATAAGTTAATTTTTTTATTTTCTTATATAAATCTTTTTTTTAGGAAATATTCTTTTAAAGAAAAACCTAGTAAAGCAGGGTTAAAGCCTAAAAAGTATTATAAAGCCTATAAAAAAAAAGTAAGTATAGCTAACTAGTAGCACAGCATAACTACTTTACCTAAAGAGGGTACACACTATAGAAATACAGTATAACCATCCTATATCTTTTAGACTACTATATAGTATCTCTCTATATAGCCTTATAGGCCTTAGGCCTTAGTTATAGAGAGTTTTATAGCAGTAGTTACCTCTTACTATAGTAGCTGCCTAGACAGTCTGCTAATCTAAGGTTACCTAGCAGGATTAAGGGTCTTTAGGCCTCTAGTCCTAAAGAATAAGCTTTATAGATAGATAGCTATTAGCTATACTTATACTAAGCATTAGGAAATAAACGCCTGTAGTTAGATACTAAATAGCTAAAGCCGCAGGGTTAGTTTCTCCTCTTAAGGCCCCCTAACTACACAACCCCCCTAGGGGCATAGCATAGTAAATAGTACACTCTAGAGAATTTAGAAAGAGAAGGTAGAAGCCTCTAGGGTGCTGTTAGCCTAGCTAACTAGTTATTCTAGTAGGTGTAAGCGCTATTTTAGTAGTATAAGTAATTCTAGTAACTAAAGTTCTTTAGCTACTACTTATAACGCTAATAGCTAACCTTAGTACATAATAGTTACCTAGTTAATTTTATTAGTAGTTATATACTTATCTTAAAGATTAAGCTATGTATATCTAAGTATAAGTAATTATATAGCAAAACTATAAATAGCTTATTATATAAGTTATTATTTATTTAATAGTACCTTACTACTTAGATAACTATAGTAATTCTAGAGCTAATACATACTAAAAATCCTAACTTTAGAAGAAATATATTTATTAGATTAAAAACTAATACCCTTTAGGGCTTACTAGTAATTTATAATAACTTCTTAAATTACATAGCCTTATGCTAGCAATAGTTTATTTAAATTTCTTTCTTATTAACTTTTAATACTAAAGTAGTATTCTAGTATAGTTATAATAGGTAACAGAGGGTTAAGGCTTAACCCTAGAGAAGAAGCCTAAGAAATAGCTACTATATCTAAAAAAGGCAGTAGGCACGCAAATTACCTAATCCTAACACAGAGAGGTAGTAATAATAAATACTAATATAGGGCTCTTTTAGGTCTTATAATTAAAATAAGTATAATTTAAATCTCTTAATAAGAAATAATTAGAGAGTAAGTCTAGTGCTAGCAGCCATAGTAATTCTAGCTCTAATAGCGTATATTAAAGTTATTATAGTTAAAAAGCTTATAGTAAAACCTTAGGCCTAGCTAGCTAGTCTGTCTTACTATATACACTAGTCTAGCTAGGCCTTTCTCTCTATAGAACCGCATGCCCTTTACTAAGTATGCTAAGGAAACAGGACTTTTACTTTAAAAAAATTAGAGTGCTCTAGGCAGGCCTATGCTTAAATACATTAGTATAAAATAATAAAATAAGACGTATAGTTCTATTTTGTTAGTTTCTAGGACTACTATAATAATTAATAAAGATAGTTAGAGGCATTAGTATTTAATTATTAAAGGTAAAATTCTTAGATTTATTAAAGACTAACTACTATAAAAGTATTTACTAAGGATGTTTTTATTTATTAGGAACAAAAGTTAGAAAATTAAAGATAATTAGATACCGTTATAGTCTTAACTATAAACTATACTAACTAAGGATTAAACAATGTTATTTTTTAACTTATTTAGCATCTTATAAGAAATTAAAGTACTTAGGCTCTAGGGGGAGTATAGTCATAAGGCTAAAACTTAAAGAAATTAACAAAAGGGCACCACTAGAGGTAAAGCCTGCAGCTTAATTTAACTTAACATAAAGAAACTTACTAGGTCTAGACATAATAAGGATTAACAGATTAAGAGCTCTTTCTTAATTTTATAGGTAGTAGTATATAGCCGTTCTTATTTAGTAAAGTAATTTATCTACTTAATTATAATAATAAATAAGACCTTAACCTACTAAATAGCCTATATTACTTTAGTAGTACGCCAGCTTCTTAGAGAGACTATTAGCTTAAGCTAATAGAAGTTTAAGGTAATAATAGGTCTGTAATACCCTTAGATATTCTAGGCTGTACACACGTTATACTAACAAAGCTAGTAAGTACTCCCTTAGCCAGAAGGCCTAGGTAATCTTATTAAACTCTGTTATACTAAAGATAAAGTATTATAATTATTACTTTTTAATAAGAAATCCCTAGTAACGTACATAATAAGCAAGTAAAACAGACAAGCGAGTAAAACACTAAACCGCAACTATATTACAAAACCAAGAAGACATCAACATTAACAACAATAAATCAATTAAAGTTACTTAGAATCCTCTTCCTCAGGCGTTTCTACATCAAACTGACATGTTCGCGCGTTATATCCTGTGTTCCTGCAGATGCCACATCGCTGTTGACCTGATTTAGTCCTTGGCTTGCGACCACTACTCTGACGCGTTTCCTCTTGAACCTGTGCTGTTGCGTCCCTCTGTGACTGTATATCCTCTGCATTAGCTACAGTAAGACTTCCTCCTTACTAGAGACGCGTTTTCTTAGTTCTCTGACGTTAGCTAAGCTTGCTGTTTTCCTCCCGAAGGACCCTGTTCTTAGCCTCCTTTAAAGCATATTGATGCATAACCCCTAACGTTCCTTTGAGAATATGGTCAATTGCGGTGTTAATAGGTGTTAGGGAGCTATTCTGATGACAGGCAATTTAATCCTTAATCATTATTAACTAAGAAGCTACTTCTATTGGGTTGTTTAGTGTCCTGGAAACCTAAGGGAGTGGTGTTATTAGAAGTGATCCTGCAGGTAATGGAGTGTGTAACTTGACGTCTAGCTTTAATAACACACTTTCTGCACTCAGAGGGACAAGCCCGGAGCCTCTGAATCCTCCCTGGATGTTCTTTTCTGTAAGCGCTTGTGTAAAGGCCTCGCGAAACGCTGGAAAGAAGTCCTCCTTCGTAATGTGGGTTACACCTCGCCGCATCTTATCCTTAATTTGTCGACTGTATGCAGTCTTAAGAGGCCTAAAACATCCTACATCTAAGGGCTGAAGTAGATAAGATAAATAAGCTAGCATACAGAGTGTAACAATGTTGTTTTCCTGACAATATAGCTTGAAACCTGCAGAGTGGTGGCTTTCATGCCTATTAACGATAAGGAGGCGATAAGGACCTCTTGCACGTGGCTTCAAATGACGATTGAAGTGCTTAACCCAATCTAGACCTATCTCGTTTGTTGTCTATCCATTTTCAGATGTTGCAATAACCCAGTCGTGTGGGAGATCTGTTTCAGTGTACCAGGTCGAGAGGTAATATTGGCCTGCAACAATGATGTATGGCGGGACGCTGTATCCTGACGAACTGATGGCTTGAACGACTGTAACCTATTCCCGGTTACCAGGCTGCACCATTTTTGTATTTAATCGCCTTTCAGCACTCGTTACAACCATTCCGGATGCAATCTGGCCCATCATAAAGCCAGTCTCATCAAAGTTGTAGATATCAGACTCCTGGATACCGTACTTTACAATTGTGTTCTTCATAAGGGCAAACTAGCCACAAATAGCCTCTGGATCTTCGCATTGGGCTCTCTTGTAGTCGTACTTTCGAAAAAAACGCGTCCGAAGCTGTGGTTGTCGTTTGACGAAGTTCGACGCCCAGCGCTTCCCAACCGGTCGCGCGCCACGGTCGGCAAGCAGGTGATTGGCCATTTCTTCAACACCACTGATCCGGGGAGGAAACGATCGGGTATCTAGGTCAAGAATATACTCAACTAGCTTCTCCTCTTCAAGCGGCGTCAAATTCCGTAAGTTCAGCATAGTGTCGCGTCGTAATTATGTTCCCTTCAGTTGATAGGACAGTGTGACATAACTGACTGAGTAGATCTTAGCTGCTGCCTGTGCGCTTAGTTTTTAGTTATTTAGAATAGCCTGGAGGGCGAGCTGAATGTTGCACTCATTACTTTGACGCGCCATGGTTTGTTATAAAAGAAAAGTGCACAGTCGCGTTAATGTGTCATAATCGCGGTTTGGTGTTTCACTCGCTTGTCTGTTTCACTCGCTTATTATGTACGTTAAGCATAAGTTATTAGCTTACGTTAATTACGTCTCTGCCCTTTATATATACTACCTGTTACTACTACTAATTAAATAGCTTAGTAAGGCTTTTAGACTAGCCTAGAGAGGTAGGTAACTACTACTTAGGGCTAGAAAGTTATCTAAACTTAGTTATTTAGAAGAAGTAAAAGTTATAATAAGGTCTTTATTAGTAAACCAGCAGAGGGATTATTACTAAGTTACCGCTTTATAACCCTTTGTAAATATACCTAACTATTGCTTTAGTAGGTAGAAGGTCCTCTTAAGGACGCCCTCTTAGCTACACCCTTTATAAGGTAAGGCGCCTGCCAGAGGTTACTAAACTCTATTTTAATAACGTTTCTTCTAAGTAACATAAGTAAATAATTA